TTGACTTTATCATCTTATAGGCCCATATATTTTATGCAGTGGACAAATTGTACGAACTCTGAAATTTATTACTACAACTTTTTAAAGCTGAGAAAATCTTATTAATTTGGAGGCAAAGGCTAAAAAGTTTGAATGTTTGTAAAATTTACAGCCCTTTTAAACAGTAACTTGTTCTTTCTTTAACAAGCAAACAAATGTCAGGGATGACATTGAAGCCAATGGGAAGAATTGAAGAGGTCAGGTAGGTGAAAACTGTTGCATTCGATGGCAAGAACCAACAAAAGACTATGAGAAAGAAAATGACAGAAACAAAGGCATCAGCAGCAGGGTTTTGATTTTTTTCACAAAGCTCAAGTGAAAGTTATTAATTTGGACAGCAAAGGACTCATTCACAAGTCACCATCTCACCAGTTCCAAAAACCAAGTTTATATTTTCAGATCAATTTTCTAAGCCCTAATATTATCTAGTAGTGCTTCTTTCTTTTTCACTGATTTATTGAGGCTTTCATTTGCCATAAATATTGGCTTTGTTTCATCGTTTTTTTTTATCTACTATCTGCTACACTACTACTTTTGTTACGAAGTATGATTCCATTTTGGAATAGGCGCTTGGGAACCTTTTTAAGTTGTACAGTTTGATAAATTTTAACATCAAAGAGCTTAGTTGGAAGTTTGGTGTCAAGAACTGTCACTGTAGGGATCAGAAAATATGATGATGCCTGTGAATATATGACTTAAATGGCCTGTCCTTACTATTTTTCCTGAAAAAATTAATGGTGATAGCCCGGTAGGTAAGAGGAGGGAAAAAAAAGTTGTAAGAAAGAGGAGTGGCGGGGGAGGTGGAGAAAGAAATAATTTAACTGCTAATCTTCAATGGTTGATTGTTTTTTATGTAATTTGATCCAAATTTTTGTTTTGCATCAGTAATTTGTTGTCTATGCTAACTGCTGAGCATCCAAAGCCTTGCAAAAAACCAGGAGCACCCTTAGATTATATATTTAAAATGACAGCGAAACTGAGGCATTTAATGAAAAGCTCTAATATTAAAAGGAAAGACACCAACTTGCAAACTCTTTGGTCGTATTTTCCGTGAAAATCTATTTTTCTTGGAAAATGGGTTTTCAATTAATATGTCATTATCTCACTAATCACCATACCATGGACCATGCATGCTTTAATGTTTTTGAAATACCCATTGTTTGCTTCCCCCCAAGCTTTTGACAAGTAAAAGAGCCTGCAGAGCAAATGGCTGTAGCTAGGGTTGAGTTTGTTTGTCTCAGCCACAAATCATCTGCAGTAACTCAATTCATAGATTTTTGACGTATGCCCCATCACCGTCCATTTATGAACGCATGCGGTCTATATATTTTACATACCCTTAGTCTGATCATGATTTTTCTGCTGACAAAACAGTTTGATACACCATGATTAAAATATATTGGAGTATAATATAAAATTAATGTAAGGGCATGGATTATCAACATCTCTCTTGATTTTGTAACCCCAACAACTTTGATTTTAAAATATCGAGAGAGGAAAACATGGCAAGAAATTTTGGACCCTTTGCATTAAATTTTCATCACAGTTCTTTTTTCTAAGTTAGAGAGGGACTTAACTTCTTCTTCTTCTTCTTCTTCTTCTTCTAGTACTTTTCATTTCACTTTCTCCCAAGCAAAGTCCAATTTGTAAATACATGGGGAGAAACATTATCTTGCCGCTACAGCTATGGCAATATAAAAAAAATAGCATGGCGCCCATAGTTTAGAAGCTTCGGCAGTCGATTGGCACTTGAGAGGAATCTCAGACAGCCAAAGAATCAATATTGATCTAAAATTCTTGAACACAGAGCGTTAACGATTAGGTTAATTTGATTTTGTTTTATACAAATGTTAGAAGAATTAATCAATTATTTTAATTTGTAATTACCCAAGCGATTGGGATTAAAAAAAACACATTTTAAACGCTTGAATATTCTTAGCTATGAGAGCTCTTTAAAGCACACGTAATCAAAAAGTTGTCATTTAACATTGTTACTAAATGTTCTCTCTGCCCATTTTTCTTGTCTATATATATTTATATTTTTAATCAGATGAATTTAATTTTCATTATTAATTTATAAAATATCGTATTAAATTAAAATTTTGAAAATACATTTTGAAAATTTTGATATTCAAATTTTACAAATTCTATTTTTATTTTGTTAATTTCAAGAATTTATTAAAAATATTAATAAAAATTTAGTTCATTTAATAAAAAAAATCAACATTAACAAACATAACGAGACTGACTTTTAATAATATAGTTGAAATTTATGGCTGCCACTTAATAATTATATCACTCAAAATCTCCAATGAATTGGATACAACTAACAAGCTTTAATGGTGCTGCTACGAAATTTGAATTGGGCGCTTGGTTAGGGTTAGTAATTACTACATTGCTGCCAAGGTTGATGAATGACATTTGTAGATCAAAAGTTTGAACGCTATCAAAGATTTTAATTTTTGAGTTTTAGGCTACATTTGAAAATTCAGGGATTCCCATACTGAATATTAGTAATTTTGGTTTTTGAATAACAACAACAACCATATTTATTTTTGCTTTAAATAAATTGGAAAAAAAAAGCAATTGATTGAATTAATAAGGGATAAGGGCTTGTCTGCTTGGTTTTTTCTCTGGATTTAAAAGTAAGAAACTAGACCAAAAAAATCCTTTTTTTTTCTTCATTTGTTCCCCTTCTCTTTATATAATTATTTTTTTCGAGAACACCCTTTTGTTTTTTTTTTTTTAATATAAAAAATTGCCGATGGTAATTTTTAAAAATTGAGAATAAAAATAATTATAAATATTAAAATTTAAATTTCAAATTTATTATACGATAATATTTTATCTAAAAAATAGACAAAAATTATATCATCTAGTGGTGTATTTTTTTTTTTTTAAAGAAATTCTATCTGGCAGCAAGGGAAAGATGGTTAAATCAGCTGAAAATCTAAATTTGAGAATCACAAAAAATACAAGTATTAATAATTAAGGAAGGAATAATGAATCATATATCACTTTCAGCGACAAAATTAAAGGAATAAAAATGACCAAATATCTGGTTTTACGACGACAAATGCAACGGTCCCTTAGTCGTTAGGCACCACTCGTTACTCCTTTCATGGCAGCGACATTCTCCTCCCCACCCCCTAAAATATATGTGCATTTCTTGTTTTTTTCTGGTAACATTTGGTTTACTTGAAAGAGATAGCAAGCAAATGGTCACAAACATGGTCTGTTTTTTTTTTTTTTTTTTAAGAAAAAGGAAATTAACTTTTTAATTTGCTTTATCTGAAAATCTTTTTGTACGTCATTAGAAAGCTGAGCTGCATGCAGAAAATGGTCATGTTTCAAAAAATTGAAGCAATTTTGTTTTTATTATTTTTAATTTTCATATACATTTTATTTAAATAATCGTTAAATTTGAAGTTACTTTATTAGTTGAATTCTTAAAAAAATGAAAGAGTTTTCTCGAATTTTTTATAATAAAATTATCAATAATTTATATTTATTCATTAAAATTAAAAATTTTACCGACATATTTAAAAAGAAAAATTATAAAAAGCTTCATAAATTTGAAATATTTTTGTAAAAAATTATTTTGGAACTTCATATACTAAGTCAAAGAGGCTAATTTGAATAGTTAAACTTGAAGCTGCTGAATTAATTGGATTCTTGAAAGAAAAATGGTAAAAAAATTCTCAGATTTGTTGTGGGGGTTAGATATATCGGAAGATAATACTGGTGCAGGTGCACAGGATACTGAGTTTAGGACCATGCCAAAGTCCAGGCTGGAATTGTACCTATCAGATGATGACTATCTAATTTGAATCAACGGCTGTGATCTCTCTCCATCGTATGTCAGGATGTCCCAGGTACGACCGGTTGGAATAAATTCAATGGTAGATACTGCTCAATCATAGCAACCACGTGTACGTTTGTGATTTGTCTTGTATGATACCTGGTAATCATCATCCTTTTATTTTTTTTTGTGGGACAAGATTTAAATGGAAAATCTTAAAAGTCAAATGGAAAATATTATAGATATATATAAGATCATATAAGATTAGTTAAATTATTATTTTTAATAAAAAATATGTTAAGAAGTGTCCGTTGACATTTGTGAGGATAAATATTTACAAAAAAAAAAAAAATTGTAAACTTTTAAATTTAATAAAAATATTTACAAAAACAATATTTTAACCAATCTTAATAACTATTTATAGTTACTATTATTAGCTGAACCCTTTTCAAAATTACTGTAATTTTTTACTAAATGCATTTTTTCTCATCAAATTTAAAAAGTGTTACAATTCCATCATTAATTACAAAGTTATGTATATTGCCTTAGATAATGTTTCTCATAATTTTTTTTTTGTTTATAAAACAGTAGTTTGGTACATTTTTTGGACATAAAAAAATTATAGTCTGAAGATAAAAAAATATAATTATTTAAATTTAAATCAAAATTTGTTAAATAACATTTTTTAAAAGTATTTATGAATCAATTAAACTAATTTTCAAGTTTATCATCTTCATACATTAATTCAATTATTCGCTAAAATAATTCAAAAATATCATTCACATGGAAATCAGAGCAGAATACCGTGGAAGCAAAGCTTTGGGAAATTTTCTTTTTTATTAATCGATTACTTTAACTTTATAATATGAAATTTTTGTCTCATGTGTGATAAAAGAATTACTATGTTAACAAAAAAAAAAAAAAAAGCAAGCTTTGAAATTGCAGGGAAATTTCCCTGTACTGTTATCTATTCTCATTAATTGCAGAAGAGAGTGCAAGGGTGCAACATGTTGACGTGAGCAATTTCTAAACATTGGACTTGAGTCCTGTTTGTCAACACAGAAAGAATGAGAAAAAGAACAAGCAAAGAAAATTAGAAAGAAAAGTTCACTATCATATCTGAAAATTAGTGGTATACATAATATATAAAGATATTGAATCAAACATCCAATAAAGATGAAGAAGCATCATCTTTATTATCTTCAATGATCTCCTTCTGATCTGCTCCTGACAATGAAGATAGACAATGACCATTATCAATCTCTTCCTCAGCTTCCAATGAAGATGCACAAGGAGTTGTTGTTGAAGAATTATCCTCAGATGAAGAAGTGTAAAAAGATAAAGGAGAAGAAGGAGAGTGAGAACAATTAGAACAAGAAGGAATACAATTATTAGTTGAAGAAATAGCAAGTCCTACAAGCAAGTCAACAAAGGCACCAACGATGTAGCCATGATTGCTTTTTCCGTTTGCTCTCAAATACCAACACAACAGTTCTTCAATATCTTCCCAATCTTTTAACCCGTGAGCTTCCACCATTTCTTCCATAGACTTCCTGAAATCAGCATGCGGATCTTGAGACTCCATTGACAAGACTACACTCTCTTTAAAAGGTGACCCATCACTCGGTTTTGCCTCTTCCAGGATTGAACTAGTCTCTCCAGGCTCGAAAAAAAGCCGCTCTGACCTTAAGCCTCGAATGACAGTCTCAACAGTATCAGCCCCCTGGCCATATTCGTCATCAGATGCTGTTGAGAAGCTTGCGGATTCAGAACAGTTGGAGAACCAAGACTCGGGTGTTTCAGCTTCAATGATGGCGTCTAAGTAAGCTGAGTTGATGGTCTTGAACAGGCTGTCATCTGTTCTGAAAGAGAGGGTTCTCGGTTGGTGACAGGAAGGCCATGGCCATGAGGATTTTGCTTGTTTGCTGTTGCACTTGGTGTTGGAGAGAAAAGGGAGCTTCATTTTCTTCCCCATGTGCTCCTTTCTTTTTTGCTTTGTTGGTTTACTATTTGAGAGATTTATGCTAAATACAAAAGTTGGGGGCCGGGGTGCGTGTTCAAATGGATAAATTTTTGGGAGCTGGAAATGTTATGTGAATTTCTTTTATGTGGGCATTAATGGATGAGTCAGACTGAGAGAGAGCTGTGGGCTGTGGTTTGTGGTGAGGGAAGATTTTAAAGTGAGCGGTGAATCAAGTTGAAAGACGTATAGCATGTAATAGTATTTAAGTAATCTCGATTACTTCAAAAAACATTTCATGGGGCAATTTGCTTAAACCTACCTACCTAGCTGATCGTTAACATGATGTCCTTTTGCACGAGTGTCAATATTAACCATAATGAGCCAATTAAACCCCCAAATATAGCTTGAAAAATTGTAAACCCCCCCCCCCCCCCCTGAAATTAAGTGGATGATAAATCCCAACGAAACCAACGGTTACCAAACTAATGACATATGGATAAGAAAATCTAGCTGTCTTTCTAATTTCTCATAAAAGTTACAAGATTATTATCTAAATGGTCAAGGGCATGCAGGGGAGGAAATCAGGATCAGATCAGATAGGGTTCTGCTGTAAAGTGCAGCAAATATTTTCTTTGTTGGTTCTAAGGGGAACAGAGGGTATACCCCTCCACACCTAGGAAATGTCTAAACAAATACCCCAAAAATCAAAGGCATGCCGGCATATTATTTCATCAATATTTTGACATTAATTCAGAATGAAACATGCAAATGACAATAGCATTTGAAAAAGTAGGATAGCAAACGGTCATTTTTTTTTTCTTTTAAGCTTTTTAGAGAATTAATTAGTTCGTAACTTTCTACTTACATATATATAGACTGTTAGGTAATATCTCTTACAATTTTATAAAATTAAAATCTGTTAAATTTGAAATATATAGACGTTATACTTATAAAGATCAAACTTCAACCTAGGTCAAAGCTAGACATTTTAAGTTGCAAACAATTAAGGTGTTTACATAACGTATATTTTCATGTAGTTATGTTGGTTTGTTGTTGAGGACAAATTAAATGTGTGTTTGTTTTTAACATTCAATCAAAAGACTTGTAAGATATTAATAATTAGGGCTCTTTTTTTTTTTTCATTATTTTATGTGATTATTATATTAGTTTAATAATCTAATCACGTTTCAAGATTCAAAATTCGGCACTTTCTAATTATTTTTGTCTAGCAAATTATGTGATGTTTAATGACAAAAATTTTATGTTATATTGCTAATATATGTGCTAAAAAAGTATTTGCAACAATTTATATATATATTTTTTGTAAAAAATAGTTTATAACACTTATTGCAATATAAAATTTTTCATGTTAAAAAAAATATATATAGTTTTATTTGCAAAAAAAGCTATAGGCCATAGATTTCTTTGCAAAGTTTGGGGGTTAAGAATTTCGATGCATTGTGGGCTGCTCATTATTGCTCTTTTAATTAAGTCAGTGTATATTTATTACTCCAGTTTGAAATGGGCATTTTTGAGAAGGTTAATTATGAAGAAAACTGTAATTGGAGGGAAAGAAAAAAAAAATTCAAAACCCACAATAAGAAACAAAAAATAATAAAAATATATGCTGGCAATGGCATATGGGGATGAAAACCATGTGTGAGTAACTCTCTATTACGTGCTTTCCTACTGCTTTCCAGAGAAGAGATTGGGACCAGCTGAGGGAGACAACTTTATTTGTTTCTTCTTTATTGGTGAGACGAGAGACACATTGAGTTATATATTTTAATACCTAAGTTGTATTCTTAATTAATTAATAGTATAATTTGAATTTCCTCTCCCATGATTCGATAAAAAAATTAAGATAGATAAAATGAGATTTATGAGACAAAGAACATCTTTTGTTATAAACTCAAAATGCTTTATATATTGTACTTAATTATATATGTTTAGATATGTGTAATTAGGCTCAAAATCAATATTATATATATGTACAATGTATTATGGGTGTGGATGACATGATATTAAATGTTCTTATGCAATATAAAGACAAATGTATTATGGGTTTGGATAACATGATATTATATGCACAACGCTATGCCTATTATATTTATATATATATATATATATATATGCATAATTAATGAAGGGGACCTTCTTCCATTTAATCTTGTTAGTGGTCCATTCCCCAAACTTACCGATACAAAATCTCAAGTTCAAATAACAATTTTCTTTTTTATCCTTACAGTTGAACTCATAACTTTACTGGTGGAAGGTTTTTTAACTAAAAATGGTTTGAGGCCATCGAGGAGGAATATCCAACAGAGTACAAATTATAAGGGGAGATGGGATGCCCCACTCATCCATGCATCTTGCAGAATTCCTGTGGCTTGTGGCAATGGTTTACTATAAAATTTTTGCTGCTTCTGCTCTCATTGTAATCCTCCTTATTTTACATCTGGTTTTGATTGATGATATAACTCTTGATTTGTCATAACGATTTTGGACAGTCAAATGTAAATGAGTTTTAAAATCGAGAGAAATAAAAAAAATCATCACCAATCTTTATTAAGGTGTGATTGATCACTTAAAAGTTTATTTTTTTAATAAAATTATAAAAACGGGTTTAAAGTTTATCAAAAAGCTAAATTTTGATTTACGAAAAATTAGGTTGGATCTGGGAGTCAATTACGTGTGAGAAATGATTAGCACCCCCACAACGCCCACAAATTGGTACCATTTAATTACGCATTATTTTCGGTGTTGGATAAAAATAGTTTTAATTTAAAATTTAACAATAATTTCCTTCATTTGGAAAAATATTTTTGCTAAAATTTTTATTTAAAAATATTGAGAAAATCTTTAAGTTAAAGAATTATCTTAAAATTCTCCAACATCTAGGCAGAATTTGGAATAACTCTTTTCGTTTAAGATTTAACACAACAATCTTTAAAATTAAATAACACTCTTTATAGAAAATTGTTGGTGGCTCTCCAACATCTAGGCAGAGTACCAAGAATTATTTCTTTCGAAATATTATTTTTATTTTATTTTGTAATATCACAATTTTTTTAAAAAGTATTATTCTTTTTTTATTATAAAATATTTATCATCAAACAATAAATTAAAGAGAGAATAATGCAGATAATTATCGATGATAACATGCTAACGTATGTATGCTAATGAATATCATGTAAAATGAAATGCAATTTAAAAGTTGAGTTCTTAAGTATAATGAGACCACCCTAACTCTCCAACATTTAGGCAGAGCTTAGGTGTAACTGTTTATATTTAAGATCTCAATTTACTGTTATACTTTTTATTTATTAATCTTATTATTAATACGAATTAAGAAATCGTGTGAAAAGACTTAATGAAGTAAAATTTCCTAAATACCTTATTATCTAAGCGGCATTCGGGAACAAATTGCTTCAAATGAAATTTTCACACATGTGCTTAGGATTTACAGGATATTTTGAATAAGGGCTTGAGTAGAGGTTTTGAAGGTTTGGTTTTAAGGTTTAGAGGGTTTTAAGGCTTGAATTTTAGGATATGAAAGGTTTAGGGTTTTGATTTTTGAGTTTGAAGATTTTAAGGTTTCAGTTTTAAAATTTGATGGTTTGGATTTTAAGATTTTGGATTTTAAGGGTTTTAGAAGCCTAGGATTTTGAAAATTAAGAATTAGTGTTTAAGGTTTCGTTTTTAAGAAAATACGAACATCTCTAAAAATCTCCAGCATTTAGGCCAATTTTCGAAGTAAGTTCGATTTTAATTATTTTTGAAAACTAATTAAAATTTTTTTTATATGTTTATTTTTTTATGAAAATTTATTAATAATAATTCTCTAACATCTAGGCGAAATTATTTTCAGAAAAATGTTTTTATTCCCTCCAACATTTAGGCAAGAAAAATAATAAAAAATAATAATAATTATTATTTTGAACATTTTTAATAAATATTTTTAATTATTACTTGTTTTTAATTTTATTTTTATTAAAACAATTAAACATTTATTCCAACAAATTTAAGAATTTATCAAGCATCAAATAAAATAAAAAATAATTAAAATAACAAAAATAGTAATATAAAAAAATTAAAAAATTAAAAAAAAAATTTTTTTACCTAAACCGGACCGATCAATGGTCCGGTCAACGACCAGTTTGGCTGGACCAAGAAGGATTTGGTTCGGCTTGCGATTCAATTGAACTGACTGAGGAGCGGCTTAGTCTGATTCAAACCGGTTCAATTAGATCAGTCAGCATATGTTGAAGAACGGGTCCACGGGTCAGATTGCACGGATCTCAGGTCAAATTCGGGTCAACGCACAGATCCTCCTTGGCATAAAACAACGTCGTTTTGCTCTTTAGTCTTTTATATATAACTGAAAAAAAATATTTTGTTCATTCTTTTTGTTTTTCAGAAAAAAAGGGGGGAGAGAGCTCTAGGGAGAGCTCGCTGTCCGGTTGCCGGACCACAGCGTCTGCCGTTGCCTGAGTCGTCGTCGACGGTTGCTGTTGGTGGTTTTCGATTGTCAAAAAATGCAAAAATTATTTTGGTAGCTCTCTTCAACGTCTTCTTTTCAGATTTGACTTTTTTTTTCGCCAAAAACAGCCCCGATCATCGTAGATCGGGGCTTGAAGTTTTTTGCCTTCTTTTTTTTTTGGGACTAAAATTGATCTGTTTTCTTTGTTTTTACAAGGAAGCTCGGCGCTGAGGTTCCTCCCTACAGGGAGGACTATTTGTCTCTTTTTTTGTTTCTGTTTTTGTGTTTTTGTTTTCGTGGTTGGTGTGGGTTGAAGGATTTTTTTTTTGGTGTGTTTAGGTGTTCGGAGGGTGTTGTGGGTAGTGTGTCTGGAGGTGAAAAAATGTCCGAAGATTTTCGAGAGGGGATGTCCGAGAGAGCTTTCGGAAAGGGTGGTTCGAGAGAGCTAAGGGGAAGAAGTTAGGGTTTTTAAGAAGCTTCAAATAGGGGGATAGATGGTGGTTGTAGATGTGGTAGGGTGGCTGTTTGGTCTGGTGGCTGGACATAAGGCTGGTCAAAGGGCTGTAGGGTGGCTGGTCGGGGGCGGTA